CAACCTTTCCTAGGCCGACCCCTACACTGCCTTCCCTCCACTACAGATTTATACACTCTCAAAGTCATTCTATTTTGTGTCATCCTCTCTACATGTCCAAACCATCTCAATAACCCCTCTTTCAGCCTCTGGATAATAATTTTGATAATCCTGCACCACCTAATCTCCAAAGTGTCTGTCTATTCTCTGCATTATATTCACACTACACATTGCCCTCAGACATGGCATCTCCACTGCCACCAGCCTTCTCCTTATTGCAACATTCACCACCCATGCCTCACACCCATGCAAGAGTGTTGGTATAACTATACAGTGGACCTCTGGATTATGACGTCATCGAATTACGTAAAATTCGGATTAAGTAACGTTTTTGCATCAAAATATTGGCTCGGTTAACGACAAAGAACTTGGTTAAAGTCATTCATCCCGAATGTGTCCGCGTAGCATGAGCGGCCCGGCCACTCCATGTACATCCAGTGTGTCATTGTTTACAAGCCAGTGAGGACGATTCTACGCGTACATGCGATACATTTTGTATTATTCCATTGTTATTAGTGCTTGTATCTGCTATATAAGCCACCATGGGCCCAGAGAAAGCTTCTAGTGCCAGCCCTGTGGTAAAGAGGGTGAGAAACACTATAGAATTCAAGAAAGAGATACGAAAGTGGAGTGCGTGTCTCCGAGCTGCCAGGTTGTATGACAAACCTCATACAACCATCGCTACTATCTTGGCCAAGAAAAAGGCAATCAAGGAAGCTGTTGTTGCGAAAGGTGCTAATATGCTTACAAAACGGAGATCGCAAATACTACTCGAAGATGTGGAGAGACTGTTGTTGGTGTGGATCAACGAGAAACAATTATCAGGAGATAGTGTTTCACAGTCAATTATATGTGAAAAGGCAAGGCGGTTGCATGTGGATCTCATTAAGAAAATGCCAGGAACTAGTGCTGATATTGATGAATTTAAGGCCAGCAAAGGCTGGTTTGAGAGGTTTAAGAATCGTAGTGGCATACGCCAGAAACAGAGCAATTTTGGACAAATTTTTGGTGCGACAGGGGTCCAGTGACTCTCAAGCTGGTCCTAGTGGCATTAAAAAACAAAGAAGGGAGGTAACCCTAGAAAAGGACTTGGTACCTAAAGTCTTTATGGAAGGGGATTACCCTTCCAAACAATTGTAAACTCCTCCATCCTCTTCCCTCCTCCTGTCTCATCACTCATCAATATGTCTTCAATAAAGGTAAGTGTCATTTTATTATTTATTTATTTATTTCTCCTGCATGTTTCATTGTTTTCTGTGTAGGGAAATGTATATTTCATGTAAAAAAATTTTGTTTAATACTTTTGGGTTTCTGCAACTGATTAATTGGATTTCCATTATTTCTTATGGGGAAAATTAATTTGGATTATGACAGATTCGGTATAAGACACGCTCTCTGTAACAGATTAATGTTGGGGGCCCACTGTACTCTCATACATTCTCCTCTTTGCTTTCATGGACAAAGTTCTTTATCTCCACAGATTCCTCAGTGCACCGCTCACCTTCCCCTCATCGATTCTATGAGTCACCTCATCTTTCATAGACCCATCTGCTGACATATTCCTTCCCAAATATCTGAATACACTCACCTCCTCCGTAATCGCTCCCTCCAGTCTGTGTGGTCTTAGGAAAGGAACTCCGTCGTTAAGTGAGGAGAGGCTGTATTATATTTTATATGGAAATTTTGCTGAATTTATGTTAATATTTATGTTACAAAATTATTAAATTATATTTTTCTTAATATTTAGCATTAAAACACACAAAATATTATATATTGCTACGAAAAAAGCCCTCCAAAATTCCATGAATTTGCGGGTATTTCCACAAACAATTATTAGTCAGGTTCTAAGGAAAAATCCGCGAATTACTGAAACCACGAATTCAGAACATTGAATTTGTGGGGGTCCAATGTATACGTAGAATACTACATGTATTTTATATCTTTCTTCTTTCAACAAACTGGCCGTCTCACGAAAGCAGGGGGGCCCAAAAAGAAAAACATAAGTTTCTCTCTTTAAATTTAGTAACATATACAAGAGAATGGGTTACTAGCCCCTTGCTCCCGGCATTTTAGTCACTTCTTATGACATGCGTGGCTTATGGAGGAAGAATTCTGTTCCACTTGCCCATGGAGATAAGTAGAAATAAACAAGAACAAGAACTAGTAAGAAAATAGAAGAAAACCCAGAAGGGTATGTATATACATGCTTGTACATGCATGTGTAGTGTGACCTAAGTGTAAGGAGAAGTAGCAAGATGTACCTGAAATCTTGCATGTTTATGAGACAGAAAAAAGACACCAGGAATCCTACCATCATGTAAAACAATTACAGGCTTCCGTTTTACACTCACTTGGCAGGACAGTAGTACCTTCCTGGGCAGTTGCTGTCTACCAACCTACTACCTAGGTGTTCTATATATATTTTATGGCTTGGAGAGCATATAAATCTGTAGTGGAAGTAAGGCAGGGTAGGAGTTGGCCTAGGAAAGGTTGGAGGGAGGGCGTAAAGGAGGTTTTGTGTGCAAGGAGCTTGGACTTCCAGCAGTCATACATGAATGTGTTAGACAGGAATGAGGGGAGAGAAATAGTTTTTATGACTTGACGTGTTGTGGGAGTGTGAACGAGGTAACATTTATGAAGGGATTTAGGGAAACCAGCAAGCCGGGCTTGAGTCATGGAGGTGGGAAGCACAGTGCCTGTGCTCTGATGGAGAGGTGTTGATGTTGCAGTTTCTTAGCAGTAGTGTAGGTGCACCTCTGACAGTGATGGAGTGAGTGATACCTGGAGTATACCTGGAGAGGGTTTTGGAGGTCAACGTCCTCATGGTCTGATCTGAGACCAGGCCTCGTGGTGGATCAGGGTCTGATCAACCAGGCTGTTACTGCTGGCCGCACGTAAATGAACGTAAGAACCACAGTCTGACTGGTCAGGTAATGACTTGAGTGCCTATCCACTGCCTTGAAAACAGCCAGGGGTCCCCCTTATGCATGCTGAGAGGAATTGAACAATCTTGGGCCCCTGACACTTATTGTGTTGTCTCTTAGTGTACATGTGGCACCCCTGCTTTTCATTGGGGGAGTGTTGTATCTCCTGCTGAGTCTTTTGCTTTCATAGGTGTGCAAGTTTGGTACTAATCCCTCTTGGATTTTCCAAGCATATATTATCGTGTATAATCTCTTCTCACTTAATGATGGAGCTCCGTTCCTAAGACCACGTCATTAAACGAATTCATCACTAAGTGAGGAGCATACTATAATGATAGTGGGTTTGTGTTAACTATCTTTGATGTTGTTTTAATGTCACCTTTGCACCATTTATAACATATTTGGTATATTTTTAAATGTTTATACAGTAGTGTACTGCATATTGAAATAAACAGATTAGAGGAAATCAGCTCTAATATACGGTGGACCCTCGGTTTTTGTGTTTAATCTGTTCCAGAGCGATCGGCCAAAACCGAAACCATTTTCCCCGTAAGAAATAATGTAAATGGAATTAATCCGTTCCAGACACCCAGAAGTATCAACAAAAAAATTGTTTTTTTTTCCTTAAGGATAGATTTATATGCACAAAAGAATGAACATTACATATGACACTTACCTTTATTGAAGGCTGTTGTTGCTGGAAGGAAGACAGGGAGGAGGGGAGAGGGAAGAGAGGTTATTCTTTGGAAGGGGAATCCCTCTCCATAAGGACTGTAGGTACCAAGTCCTTATCTGGGGTCACTTCCCTCCTTTGTTTTTTAATGCCACTAGGACCAGCTTGAGAGTCACTGGACCCCTGCCGCACAAAATAACTATCCAGAGTGCTCTGTTTTTGGCGTCTCTTTAAGGGAGCTAGTCACTCTCTGCCCTCTACTGCCACTCTTTATTGATTAATTGCTTTGCATTCACAAGCAACTTTATTTTGAATATTGTCTATAAAACATATCCCTGAGGTATCCTGGTAATATCTGGTGTTTTCAACCCTTGTACTGCAGCTTGATTGTCTCCCACCCATACCTCTATAATCTATCAGTTTAAAGTCCTAGACAAGTCAGCAATGGCCCCCCTCAATTGAGTTGGCTAATGCAACCACTCCGGCCCCTGAGAGATGTACCCCATCCCTTGCATACATATCACATTTGCCATAAAACTCGTATTGTATCTCAAATTTTTCATTATAACTCAAAGCTTAATTCCTTAATGAGGGTAAATTATAATTCAAAATTATCTAGACTCAAGGCCATTGTAACTCAAAGGACCACTGTATTTAAAAATTATAACTGGTGACAGGAGGAGAGAAGACAGTGAACAGATGTTACATGACCTTTTTGCAATAAATGTTGAATCATAATATAAAAGTAAGGACAAGTGCAGTGAGCACCAAGAGGAAGGCCTGGCTTGGAACTGGGCTGGTCACATATCTAGAGGTATTGAGAAATGCTGAAAAAATGGAATAATAATTTTAAATATAACATGAGGAAGACTCAAAAAAATATTAGTTTTTATGTGAAAGGTTGAATATATGGTAATGAAAGAGAGAAAAGTTATGAAATATGTTGATGGTACAAGAGTGAACTAGCAATGGCAGTGCTGGATGGATTGAAAGTTTCCCCTTCAAGCATGAAGATGAAGACAAGCCACACAACAACCTGCTATTAAGACAACATTTTGCTTAATCAAGTCATGACTTGATAAAGTTCTTCACTGTGAAATGTTTCAGTAGAACTTGTTCTGTAACTTGTGTTTTTGTCTTGCCAGCACCTGTGCTGCTGTACAATATGTTTGATTCCTAGCATGAGGATAATGCACTAGATGACTTAGTATATACACTAGTTATGCAGCATTTAAGAAACAATAAATGGGATCTAATTAATGAAATACTCTCTTTTGAATTAGAATTTAAAGATAAATATGAGTGCAGCAACACAAAAAATTGGAGGGATGGCAAGTTTACTCAAACCTTGTAATTAACAATACCTGTGTGGTTTTAATGTTGCTGGAACATCTAGGTCAATAATATCTAGATTGAGCCATGTCTTCCACTCCAGTCCCATCCCTGTATCATCTTCAAGAAGTGGAATAGCCATGTACCGATGAATACCTAGAAGAACAGAAATTGTTTTCATGTTAGAAATAGATTTACTGAATACTTTGATTTTGTGAAAAAACTCAAAAACAGATCTGCATGTAAAAATTTAGAAAAATTAAGTACCTTCAATGGGAGTACCTTGATGCTGGTGAAGGGCTCTTGATCCAATAAATTGGAGCTATCCTTTTCCTTGAATCGAATCCAATTGCCTCCCATACCCCAAGTGCTATGTGACATTATGAATTTACCACTTTAGTAATTCTTAACACATTGATCATATACTACCAAGATCAGGCAAGCTAGTGAATGAAACACCGAGAGATCCCTAGCAACACACACACACACACACACACACACACACACACACACACACACAAAACACACACACACACACACACACACACACACAACACACACACACACACACACACATCGCATTTAAAAAAAAGTCATAATAATCATAATCATTTATTTATTTTTATATGAAAAAGAACAGAGTTAGGCATTGCATTTTGGACAGATTTAAATAATTCTGCATGCCAGAACTTGAGTCATGGAGATGGGAAGCACAGTGCCTGCACTCTGAAGGAAGGGTGTTAATGTTGCATTTTATAACTGTAGTGTAAGCGTGCCTCTGGCAAGACAGTGATGGAGTGAATGATTGATGAAAGTTTTTCTTTTCTGGGCCACCCTACCTTGGTGGGAAATGGCTAATGTGTTAATAAAAAAATAATTAAACAATTCTGTATATATGGCAAAATTAAACTTAATGAGCTTGTTTATCATATATTTTTTTTTTTATTATCACACTGGCCGATTCCCACCAGGGCAGGGTGGCCCGAAAAAGAAAAACTTTCACCATCATTCACTCCATCACTGTCTTACCAGAAGGGTGCTTTACACTACAGTTTTTAAACTGCAACATTAACACCCCTCCTTCAGAGTGCAGGCACTGTACTTCCCATCTCCAGGACTCAAGTCCGGCCTGCCGGTTTCCCTGATCCCCTTCATAAATGTTACTTTGCTCACACTCCAACAGCACGTCAAGTATTAAAAACCATTTGTCTCCATTCACTCCTATCAAACACGCTCACGCATGCCTGCTGGAAGTCCAAGCCCCTCGCACACAAAACCTCCTTTACCCCCTCTCTCCAACCTTTCCTAGGCGCGACCCCTACCACCCGCCTTCCTTCCACTACAGACTGATACACTCTTGAAGTCATTCTGTTTCGCTCCATTCTCTTTACATGTCCGAACCACCTCAACAACCCTTCCTCAGCCCTCTGGGACAACAGTTTTGGTAATCCCGCACCTCCTCCTAACTTCCAACTACGAATTCTCGCATTATATTCACACCACACATTGCCCCAGACATGGACATCTCCACTGCCTCCAGCCTTCTCCTCGCTGCAACATTCATCACCCATGCCTCACACCCATATAAGAGCGTTGGTAAAACTATACTCTCATACATTCCCCTCTTTGCCCCCAAGGCCCAAAGTTCTTTGTCTCCACAGACTCCTAAGTGCACCACTCACTTTTTTCCCCCTCATCAATTCTATGATTCACCTCATCTTCATAGACCCATCCGCTGACACGCCCAAACTCCCAAATATTTTATACATTCACCTCCTCCATACTCTCTCCCTCCAATCTGATATTCAATCTTTCATCACCTAATCTTTTTGTTTCCTCATAACCTTACTCTTTCCTGTATTCACCTTTAATTTTCTTCTTTTGCACACCCTACCAAATTCATCCACCAATCTCTGCAACTTTTCTTCAGAATTTCCCAAGAGCACAGTGTCATCAGCAAAGAGCAGCTGTGACAAACTCCCACTTTGTGTGTGATTCTTTTCTTTTAACTCCACGCCTCTTGCCAAGACCCTCGCATTTACTTCTCTTACAACCCCATCTATAAATTATATTAAAAAACCCACGGTGACATCACACATCCTTGTCTAAGGCTATTTTACGGGGGAAAAAATTTCCCTCTTTCCTACATACTCTAACTTGAGCCTCACTATCCTCGTAAAAACTCTTCACTGCTTTCAGTAACCTACCTCCTACACCATACACTTGCAACATCTCCCACTTTGCCCCCGTATCCACCCTGTCATACGCCTTTTCCAAATCCATAAATGCCACAAAGCCCTCTTTAGCCTTATCTAAATACTGTTCACTTATATGTTTCACGTAAACACCTGGTCCACACACCCCCCTACCTTTCCTAAAGCCTCCTTGTTCATCTGCTATCCTATTCTCCGTCTTACTCTTAATTCTTTAAATAATAACTCTACCATACACTTTACCAGGTAACTCAGCAGACTTATCCCCCTATAATTTTTGCACTATCTTTTATCCCCTTTGCCTTTATACAAAGGAACTATGCATGCTCTCTGCCAATTCCTAGGTACCTTGCCCTCTTCCATACATTTATTAAAAATTGCACCAACCACTCCAAAACTATATCCCCACCTGCTTTTAAAACATTTCTATCTTTATCCCATCAATCCCGGCTGCCTTACCCCCTTTCTTTTTACCTACTGCCTCACGAACTTCCCCCAACTCACAACTGGCTCTTCTCACTCCTACAAGATGTTTTTCCCCTCCTTGTCCTATACACGAAATCACAGCTTCCCTATCTTCATCAACTTTTAACAATTCCTCAAAATATTCCCTCCATCTTCCCATACCTCTAACTCTCCATTTAATAACTCTCCTCTCCTATTTTTAAACTGACAAATCCATTTGTTCTCTAGGCTTTCTTAACTTGTTAATCTCACTCCAAAACTTTTTTTTATTTTCAACAAAATTTGTTGATAACATCTCACCCACTCTCTCATTTGCTTTCTTTTTACATTGCTTCACCACTCTCTTAACCTCTCTCTTTTTCTCCATATACTCTTCCCTCCTTGCATCACTTCTACTTTGTAAAAACTTCTCATATGCTAACTTTTTCTCCCTTACTACTCTCTTTACATCATCATTCCACCAATCGCTCCTCTTCCCTCCCACACCCACTTTCCTGTAACCACAAAAGATAAAGTGAATCATTGATTAATTCACGGGGGTTGCATTCCTGAAAATCAGTACCTAATCTAAACACTAAGGCCAGAGTTCCCCCATATAGTTCTGTGTTATGAGCTCGGCTCACTTGGATAAGCTGTGAGTGGTAAATTTTGGCCTAGATATGAGAAACTGTCTGCGCAGTGAGTGTGCACAGTATAAAAAAAAATCCTGCCCCACCCGGTGCCTGATGGAAAAGCAAAACTCTGACTATGTATATGGTTTAAATTAGTAATTTTGAGGTGTTTTGTCAGATTGCTTTTATGGTTGTATTGGCTGTTCTTGGTAACTTTTGATAGAATGGAAGATGTACTTACTACAAAAATAGAGATGATTTTGGTTGGTTTCAGGACTTGCAGTTGCTTGAAATTGAGCTCAGAGTAATGGAAAAATTAAACTTTTTCCTGATTATCCTAAGGATGGGTAAGGCCATTCCCCCGCCCACCAGTCTTTTTTATGGGTTTTTAATAGGTCTGATTTCATTATTGGGATACCATAAACCATGATCAGTCATCCCTGGTTATAGTTTATTATCCAAAAAACATTGCAAATCTTCTATTTTTGTATGATTATGGATTCAAAATGGAAGGCAGGTGTAATATGTACAGCCTCTCCTCACTTACCAACAGATCTCCATTCCTAAGACCACGTCGGTAAATGAATTCATTGCTAATTGAGGAACCACCTCTTGCTGATATTTCAAAAATGTCACCACCTAATGAGAACCTTCAAAACTAGGGATGCCAAGCCCATGATGATTCTCTTTAAATTGCTTGTGCTCTCTAGGCTGGAATACTGCTGTATACTAATGGCCCCCTTCAAGACTGGCGACATTGCAGACCTGGAGAGTGTACAAAGAACTTTCACGGCACACAAGTGCGATAAGGCACCTAAACTACTGGGAACGGTTGAAGGTCTTTGATCTGTATTCCCTCAAATGCAGACGAGAGAGATACATGATAATATACATTTGGAAGGTCCTGGAGGGATTGGTACCAAACCTGCACATGAAAATCACTCCATATGAAAGCAAAAGACTCGGCATGAGATGCAACATTTCCCTGATGAAAAGTAGGGGCGTCACGAGTACACTGAGAGACAACACAATAAGTATCCGGGGCCCAAGACTGTTCAATTGCCTCTCAGCATACATAAGGGGGATTACCAATATACCCCTGGCTGTCTTCAAGAAGGCACTGGACAGGCACCTGAAGTCAGTACCTGACCAACCGGGCTGTGGTTCGTACGTCAGCTTGTGTGCGGCTAGCAGTAACAGCCTGGGTGATCAGACCCTGATCCACCATGAGGCCTGGTCTCAGACTCGGCCATGGGGGGCATTGACCCCCAAAATTCTCCAGGTAAACCCAAAATTAAAACATTAAGTTTTATGTTTGCTGTGAAAATCCTTTCAATCCGTTCATTATTAATGGCAATACAATATGAACTAGGTAAATAATTTCTCAAGTAATCATCATAGCTGATTACTTTTTTTTTTTTTTTTTTTTAGAAAATCTCACTTTTTTTAGTTTTTGCATAGGATGAGAATGATCTTCTATAGTTACCCTTCCAGTGCATAACGTTTTCTGTAATGGTCATGGTCATTTTTTTTATCCTTCCCCACCTCCCACCCTTCAATACAGTGGTACCCCGAGTTTTGGCCATAATTCGTTCCAGAAGGCTGTTCGAGTACCATTACCAAACAAATTTTTCCCATAAGGAATAATGTAAATTAGATTAGTCCTTGTCAGACCCCCAAAAATACACTTACAAAAGCACTTACAATAATACACTTACATAATTGTTTAAGTTGGGAGGTGGCCAAAACTCGGGGTGCCACTGTACTTCTCCATATAATGTCAGTTTTTCTTAATTTGGGCATCTTTATTATGCTTGTATGTTATTTACGTTATACCTAATATTATTCTGGAATAAATATTGATAGTAATAATTATACAATATTTTATAGTGGGGTGAGGGACACCTCCGTATGTCATGGTGAATCATCAGCTACTGAGACACTGCTTGCTTCTCCCTGTGCTATAGCTAGCTCCACCCACTTTGTAATGATGCCAACTGGCGAATTAAATATGTATACAGTGGACCCCCGCATAACGATTACCTCCGAATGCGACCAATTATGTAAGTGTAATTATGTAAGTGCGTTTGTACGTGTATGTTTGGGGGTCTGAAATGGACTAATCTACTTCACAATATTCCTTATGGGAACAAATTCGGTCAGTACTGGCACCTGAACATACTTCTGGAGTGAAAAAATATCGTTAACCGGGGGTCCACTGTATTAGAAAAAAAAAGAAGAAAAAATAAATAAAAAGGAAACTCCAACTTGATAACTTTGTTTAATTTGCACAGCTTTTACATATTACAGAAAACAATAAAAAAGTAAAATACACATACAGTACACTCATTACTTGCCTTAAAATACTTGTAGTCGTAATGTAGGGTGAGAGGTGAGTGAGTAGTATGTATTGTAGTGATACAATGTATGTACAATACAGTGGAACCTCGACTTACGAGTGTCCCAACATATGAGTTTTTCAAGATATGAGCTGTCACTCGGTCGATTTTTTACTCTAAGTTATGAGCCAACATCTGAGTTATGAGCGAGCTCTCCTCACCAGCCTCAAGGTTCCTTGATGCTGGTGAGGGGCTCTTGATCTAGGGAGTTGGATCTGTGCTAATTACAACCCAGGTACTCCAAGGCCTGTTATCCTGGGTGTAAAGGGAGCAAAATAAACACAGTAGAAAAACTTTGAATTATATTATCCTTCAACAAGTATAAACAGAAGTATGTATACTGTATACACTATGTGCAGCAATAGGTATTAGTGCATGCCACAGTAATCAAGGCAGAATTGAAGCCAACAGAAACGCAGACCACCGTGCTTCAACCAGCTCTCGACTGGAAATGACAAGGGTGAAAACGTGAGTGGTAACCACGTCACCTTCATAACTGTCAGATCCACCTTCTCATTGGCTGAACCTAGATATGTACTGATCTGACGATGGGGCCCCAATCATCCAACCCTTAGTATCTGGTTCACTGGTTGGGGAAGTAGCCTTTTAATGAGGGTGTGTACATGCGTCGAATAAAGGTTATGTACTCTTTGCATGCCACAGTGCTTCAGTTTCCTAAATTAATAATAATATAACAAGGAGCTTCAGATCGCCGACAGCTGGCACAGTGCACTGTTTATCTTGCCGTGCAAGCATTTCTCTCATGTTTGCTTGCATTTTGTGTAGTTATTTTGTTAAATTTCTTTTTTCTAACCATGGGTCTTAAGAAAGTAAGTGCAAAGGACAATGCTGAGAATAAAAAGATGATGTCTTTGGAATTAAAGCATGAAATCACAGATAAACACGAGTGAGGTGTGAGGGTTGTTTGCGAGGCCTGTCTTTGCTGTAGGGGTTGAAACTAGTGATCTAGTGCAGTTAGCCTCACAAACCCTGTTTTCTCTTATAATAAGACCTCTGAAGGGGAAGCATGGTCAGTGTGGGAGTGGCAATGGCTGCCACTGCCCATCACATAATGACATATTTTATTCATTCTAGAGTATATACAGTGGACCCTCAGCTAACGATGTTAATCCGTTCCTGGGAGCTCATCGTTAGACGAAATTATAGTTAGCCGAATTAATTTTCCCCATAAGAAATATAATGGAAATCTAATTAATCCGTTACAGTCAAAAGTATTAAAAAAAATAATTTTTTTTTCATGAAATATACATTTCCCTAAAAAGAAAACAATGAGACATGCACAATAATTATATAAATAAATGTTAAAATGACACTTACCTTTATTGAAGAGTATTGATGAGTGATGAGACACTGTTTTTCTTGAACACTCTGGGATTTTCAGAGTGATACATGAGTAAAGGCTTCACTTTGCAATCCCCACTAGCATTACAACAAAACAAGAAAGTTAGCCTGCCTTTCATAGGCTTGTGTCCTGGGAGTGCCTTTTCCTCCTGAGTAATGTAGGTCCTGTTTGACATTTTCTTCCAGAACAGACCTGTTTCATCACAATTGAACACTTGTTGGGGTTGGAATTTTCAGCTTCGCCATGCCTTATCACACTGTGTATGCCACTACAATTCTTAAATCTCTCAAACCAACCTTTGCTGGCCTTAAATTCACCAATATGAGCACTAGTTCCAGGCATATTTTCCTGTTCACCTGGGTGTTAGTCAACTGATGTGGGTCACATCCTGGGGGACAAGATTAAGGACCCCAATGGAAATAAGTTAGACAGTTCTCGATAACTCACTGACTTTCTTGGGTTATCCTGGGTGGCTAACCCTCTGGGGTTAATTGTTTCTCAGTAAGCCACACCAACAACAATCTCTCCACATCTTCAAGTAGTACAGCTGACGGTGGTGCAGCAACAGCGGACGGTGGTGCAGCAGCAGCTGACCTTGGTATGATAGTATTTCAATAATATTCCTCATCCTTTTTACCACAGGATTGGCACTAGAAGCTTTTTGCTCATGGTGGTTTATTTAGCAGTTACAAGCACTATAAACAATGGAATAATACATAATGTATTGAATGTATACATGAAACCAGCCACCCTCACTTGTAAACAATGATGGCAGGGCAGCTGAGGCACTCAGGCTGGACGGACAGGTTCGGGACGAATCACGTTGGGCGAGTTTTTTATAGTTAGTCAGGCCGAAATTTTTACGCTCAAATGCTTCGTTGGGCGGATTTAACGTTATGCGATGCATTCGTTAGCCGAGGGCCCACCCTATCTTGTTTCTTTGTTATTTATATTGTTTATTATGTCATATTAGAAGAATTGTGATAGATAAAAAAGCCATAGAATTGATATTAGCATCATATTGAAGTATTTTGTCTTGCCTCCCAAGAGCAGGAATTCCGCTGGAACGAATTAATTTAAATGAGGAAAATTGATTTGATTTACGAGCAAAGTGAGTTATGAGCTAGGTCACGGAATGGATTAAACTCGTAAGTCGAGGTTCCACTGTACACTCATGACTTACCTTAAAATATGTGTAGTCCTAGTGTAGGGTGAAAAGTGAGTATTGTAGAAAGAGGAAGATGAACAACAACAGAGAATGAAAGAAGTACAAAAGTTCACGGTAAAGGGGTTAGCTGGTGTGTTTGTTTGTGTGTTTACATTCTTGGTGTGTCTTGTGGCATCTTAAGAAATGATTAAACTCGGTGAACAAAGTATGTCGATGGTAATAATAATAATAATAATAATACAGCACTTAAATAATAATTAATAATCACTCTGGAGCACTTTAAATATCATACGTAGTTTGTATTGGTTTGGTAGCTGACTTTTAAAGCTCTCCAGAAATAACTTGAGTATTCCTCAACTTTTAATGGCTGATGTATCTTTGAAGAAAGTTTAAACCTTCTGGTTTATGCAAGTTACCTGAAGCTCCCCACAGTCCATGTGATCCTTTGGCAGCATACAGGATTGGATGAAATCCTGCAAGATATATAGTCTGTGGATACTCAGGTGACATTTGGATGCCTTCTCTTACATCTTGACTAGCATAGAGGAAGATTCTGTGGTGAGGATCGTAAGTGTAGTAAGCTCCAAAAGTGTGGGTTGATATGTACATCTGCACAGGTGAACTACCCTGGAAATTGATAATATCAGAAGAAATTTCCTAGGCATTAATAATGTAGTTAAATGCAGTACTTAGTAGCAGAAATAAATTTTGGGGGCCATGTAAAGATTTACCATACCTTTCCTCTAAGTAGGACATTGAAGTACAGTGGTACCTCGGTATACGACAAGCTCCCAACTCGAACAATTATGTAAGTGTATTTTTGTAAGTGCTTTTGTAAGTGTATTTTTGGGGTCTGAAATGGATTAATCTGCTTTACATTATTCCTTATGGGAACAAATTCTTTTAGTACTTGAATAGATCGGCACTCGAGGTACCACTGTACAGTAAACCCTCAATTTAATAGACAAATGGGGGAGGGAGGTGTTTCATTATGCAGTTTTTAGTGAAGTTAGGTAACTTAGGCTACCATATTTCCCATTAAGTAAAATGTGATTTTTCTTAAGAATATTAAGCCCAGAAACACCCTGTGTCGTATGGCCATGTCTAAAATATTAAGGAAAAAAATGAAAAATACATTGAAAATTATATTATTAAGTTCATGGGGAAGCTGTCATACAGTGACAAGGTACTGAGAAGTGTTGGGGTAATCAGGTTTGATCCAAGGAAAGGGAGGATAGTTTCAATTTAAACCCATACAAGCAAAGTCTTTTGCTTCTGTTTGTAATTGGCAGTGTTGTTATTGGTGGAACTGGTAAGGTAATACCAGCAAGTTGCAGGTAAGAGACAGGCATACACAGATTATGACAAACATTTATTATAGAAATGTTTTACCACAAGTGACTCCTTCAGTGCTAGAACTGATGAAAGGAAACCACTTGTGGTGAAACTGTTTCTTAATATTTTGACCAGTGTATACCTCTCTTTTAGCTATTCTGCTGTTATTGTCTGGTATTAAGGGTATGATTATGACAACTGGCACTGTGATTTTGATACTGTAGTTGTTGATTTAGGAGATGCATGATCATTGAGCCATTCTATAGTCCATTAATTAAGCTAAAATAAACACACCTTGTGTTTGCAACTTATGGCCATTGTATTGACTGTTTTTTGAGAGCCTTGGTAGTATTAATACTGGCATGTGTGTTGACTTAGGTTTAGGCAGATGTCCAGTGTGAGCCCTTTTATTTTAACTACATTGTTGACTTTGTCTCTGGGAGCATGGTCACCACTCTGTTGTTCAAAGTATTCATAACACCACACACACTCATGAACACTTAGTCTATTTGTCTCCTTGTGCGGAATTTACCTCTGAGATTATCTGATGCAGGCTCAGTTTTAGGAGGAAATTTGCTTCAGCATTGTGGACTTATCCTGTCCTAAGATCAAATGAACGTTGTCTCTGATGGCTCTGTTGGTGTCTTAGGCTTTGACTAGATGGTATCTGCATGCACACATGCAGTGTGTGAACTTAGTGTCATGTGCTAGTGATTTGCACAATGTGATGTGATGTGTTTCTTAAGATTTTTTTATAGTGTATCTTTTATATGACGACTTTAGTGTTAGACATTGACTAGTTATCTTTTTTAGGTTAATTTACCTAGATTTGGCATCTAAGTGATTGACTTGTAATCAAGTATTATTTCAGTTATGTTATATTGTGGATATTGTTCCCATGTAGATTGTAAATATATTTCTACACGATGTCATTATTAACCCTTTCAGGGTTGGTCCCGTGCATGTACGGCTTAACACCCAGGGTCGGTCCTGTACTTATATGCCAAAATTCTAGCGCCTTCAAATCGAGTGGGAGAAACTTGGTAGGCCTACATGTGAGAGAATGGGTCTGCGTGGTCAGTGTGCACAATAGGAAAAAAAATCGGGGCACCCACATTGCGTTCTGGGAGTGGTAATTCAGTGCGCTTTGGTCACCAAGCCAGGCAGTAAGGAATACCTCACTCTCTGGCGAATTGGGACCCTTCCCTTTGCAAGTGATAGTTCTAACACAGATTGATGTGTCAGTGAAGATGAATCTAATGGTTTTGAGGAGTTTGTGACAGAAAGTAATGACCAGGATACCAGAAATAGTGATGAAGACCCACACCATTATCAACCTTCCACCAAAAATGTCAGACAAAGTGACTTATTTGCATGTGGGTGGTGGGGAAGACAGCATAGTTGGTGGGGAAGACAGTGTGGGTACTGGGGAAGGCAGTGTGGGTAGTGGGGAAGGGAGTGTCTGTGGTGGGGAAGGCTGCATGGGTTTGTGTGAACATAGCAAAAAAGTCAAAGTGACTTATTTGTGTGTGGGTGGTGGGGAAGACAGTGTGGGTATTGGGGAAGGCAGTGTGGGTAGTGGGGAAGGGAGCATCTGTGGTGATGAAGACAATGTGGGTTTGTGTAAACAACATGGCTAGCCAGCAGTTGGCTGGCTGGCTGGCTGATTGACTATGGCTGTCTCTATCTGTCTGTCTGTCTGTATCTATATCTCTGTCTCTGTCTATCTCTGTCTCTATCTATCTCTGTCTCTATCTCTGTCTCACAGGTACACATAAATACAACTATACATAGTGTAAATTACTAAGGATAATCCAAAAAATCCAGACAAAGTGCTATACTGTGCTTGTAGATATAATGCATAGTAAGCATGACTGGTAAGTAATATGTGCGTCGTGTGTAATACCTGTTGGTTCATGAGTGGCTCTCTCCGAGAAAGAGAGAGAGACAAGCAGAGACACAGAAAGACAGATAAGCAGAGACAGATATAAACAGAGAGCTAGACAGACATAAACAGAGCTAGACAGACATAAACAGAGAGCTAGACAGACAAACAGATAGACAGACAGACATGTTTATGTGTAACAGTGAAAACAGATAAAGCCAAGGCAGTGCACGCTCATCAAATGTCACCACTGCTGCACTGTCATGCTTCAAGTAAACTTATTATTATTATTATAATTATATACTCCCGCATATCTGAAACATTGCCGGGACCTATAAATACTGTGTATATATTTCTAGACAATAGTTTGTGACTAAGGTTGGTGAAAATGTTCACCTGTTAATGTTTGTGCGATTATTGTGTAGCATACAATGAGTGAATATATGTACATTACACCTTATATTGGTCTCACAGGCCATAAAAGTTACTTGAAAAAATAAAATGTTAAAAAACAAAAAAAAAAAGTGACTGGCAGTCGGCGATGTTGTTGTAAGTGGTTCACTTTGTCAACTTCATGCCTCTACATCTCGGTAAGTACAGTAAGGCCCCGCTTTACGGCGTTTTGCTTTACGGCATTTTGCTTTACGGCATTCCCCTAATACAGCGATGTCAAATTATGACCAAAATTTGCTATACGGCAAGCGGTCTTTCAAATACGGCGCCCCCCCACCTGGTTTGTTTACATTTTCTGTGACCACATCTATTATGTCAGGAAACTTTCCAAAATTTCAAGTGTTTTAAAGTTACTGCATATTTTATATGTACTCTGATAATTATACTTATGTGTACCTGTACCTAAATATACTTACACACTGTGCTGGTGTGCAGGTACACATTAAAATCGCTAAGTCTCTCTCTACTCATGACGCCAATACTACGTAATAATAATCACTCTTGGGCACACTAAATGTCTTATTTTACATCAATATAGGCATTTTCATTAATCCATCTATGATATTTTCCTCAAAATTATATATGAAACCCATTACATAGCATATAAACATGATACATACACTCACAGAATAAAAATTGATGTAAATATAAGATTTGTTTACAAAGCTGTGTAGGTAGTGTCGGAAGAATTACATTTTCTCTAGTCAAACTGGGGGATAACTGTAGAAAAATATTCTTTTCGTATGCCTTTACTCTATATATAGCAATTCACTACCCTTGTGGGTTTAGTGCTTTTTATAATAATAATAATAATATTATTATTATTATTATTATATATTATATATTAATATTAATATTAATAATAATAATAATAATATTATTATTATTAATATTATTATCTTCATTCACTCTAAAAATGGTGTGTTGCTGTTTGTTTATTCTGAACTAAATTGTACAACCTGTACACAATGTAAGAACATTTGTATCGTGAGGTAATTATTATAATAAAAAAATATTGAGGTAAATGTTTTACAAACTCTTACAAACAGACGTGAATGAACTAAAAATAGACACATATTAATGAAGATCTGATGATGATTGATGGGATGGGAGGAGGGGAGAGTGTCGAAGTTTTTAATGTTTAGAAGGGGAATCCCCCTCCATTAGGGCTTGAGGTAGCAAGTCCTTTTCCGGGGTTACTTCCCTTCTTCTTTTAATGCCACTAGGACCAGCTGAGAGTCACTGGACTTCTGTAGCACAACATATCTGTCCATAGAGGCCTGTACCTCTCGTTCCTTTATGACTTTCCTAAAGTGGTTCACAACATTGTCAGTGTACAGGTTGCCAACACGGCTTGCAATAGCTGTGTCATGGTGATTTTCATCAAAAAAGGTTTGCACTTGAAGCCACTTTGCACACATTTCCTTAATCTTTGAAGTAGGCAACTTTGTAAATTTCTCTATCCCCTCCTCCGAAGCAGTTTCCTGTTGAAGATGATCTAGCAGCTCATCAGTGGTTAGTTCATTATTGTCCTCCTCCACCAACTCTTCCACATCCTCTCCACTAACCTCCAACCCCAAGGACTTTCCCAATGCCACAATGGATTCCTCAACTGGCATAGGATTCCCAGGGTTAGCCTCAAACCCTTCAAAATCCCTTTTGTCTACACATTCTGGCCACAGTTTCTTCCAAGCAGAGTTCAAGGTCCTCTTAGTCACTCCCTCCCAAGCCTTACCTATAAGGTTTACACAATTGAGGATATTAAAGTGATCCTTCCAAAACTCTTAGAGTCAATAGAGTATCTGTGGTTACTTCAAAGCACCTTTCAAACATAGCTTTTGTGTACAGTTTCTTGAAGTTGGAAATGACCTGCTGGTCCATGGGCTGCAGGAGAGGAGTGGTATTAGGAGGCAAAAACTTGACCTTAATGAAGCTCATGTCCCCACAAAGTCGCTCTGCCAAGTCTGTAGGATGACCAGGGGCATTGTCTAACACCAGGAGGCACTTAAGATCTAATTTCTTTTCAATTAGGTAATTTTTCACAGTGGGGGCAAATGCATGGTGTAACCAGTCATAGAAAAAGTCCCTAGTGACCCATGCCTTAGTGTTTGCCCTCCACAGCATACACAAATTAGCCTTGAGGATATTCTTTTGCCTGAACACTCTGGGAGCTTCTGAGTGATACACCAATAAAGGCTTCACTTTGCAATCACCACTAGCATTGGCACACATCAGAAGAGTAAGCCTGTCTTTCATAGGCTTATGTCCTGGGAGTGCCTTTTCCTCCTGAGTAATGTAAGTCCTGCTTGGCAATTTCTTCCAAAACAGGCCTGTTTCGTCACAATTAAACACTTGTTCAGGTTTCAGTCCTTCAGCCTCTATGTACTCCTTGAATTCATGCACATATTTTTCAGCTGCTTTTTGGTCTGAACTGGCAGCCTCACCATGCCTAATCACACTATGTATGCCACTACGATTCTTAAATCTTTCAAACCAACCTTTGCTGGCCTTAAATTCACTCACATCACCACTAGTTGCAGGCATTTTTCTAATTAAATCCTCATGCAACTGCCTAGCCTTTAAACAAATGATCGCTTGAGAGATGCTATCTCCTGCTATCTGTTTTTCATTTATCCACACCAGTAACAGTCTCTCAACATTTTCTAACACTTGCGATCGCTGTTTTGTAATCACAGTTGCACCTTTTGCAAGAACAGCTTCCTTGATTGCCATTTTCCTGCTCACTATAGTAGAGATGGTTCATTGGGATTTACTGTACAACTTGGCCAGGTCCGACACACACACTCCACTTTCATACTTTGCAATTACCTCTTTCTTCATTTCAATAGTCATTAGCACCCTTGGTCTCGATGGGTTAGCACTAGAAGCTTTCTTGGGCGCATGGTGACTTATTTTGCAGAAACAAGCACCAAAAACAGTGATAATATGGATAATATGGAATGTACCGAATGTATCCTTAGATGCGCGCACACTGGCTGGCTTGTAAACACTGGCACACACGGGGCAGTTCAGGCCACACGTGGACACGTCTCATATGAATCGTATTGCGTACTGGGTTTTGTAACGGGAACTGAGGCAAATTTTTTGTGATATAATGCTTCGGATACCGGATTTATCAGATACCGATGACTTCGCAAACCGGGGGTCCACTGTAATAATAATATTATTTTTATTATTAATAAAAAGCAGTAAACCCACAAGGGTTGTGAATTGCTATATATAGAGTAAAGACATACGAAAAGAATATTTTTCTACAGTTATCCCCCAGTTTGACTAGAGAAAATGTAATTCTTCCGACACTACCTACACAGCTTTGTAAACAAATCTCATATTTACGTCAATTTTTATTCTGTGAGTGTATGTATCATGTTTATATGCTATGTAATGGGTTTCATATATAATTTTGAGGAAAATATCATAGATGGATTAATGAAAATGCTTATATTAATGTAAAATAAGACATTTAGTGTGCCCAAGAATGATTATTATTACGTAGTATTGGCGTCATGAGTAGAGAGAGACTTAGCGATTTTAATGTGTACCTGCACACCAGCACAGTGTGTAAGTATATTTAGGTACAGGTACATATACGTATAATTATCAGAGTACATATAAAATATGCAGTAACTTTAAAACACTTGAAATTTTGGAAAGTTTCCTGACATAATAGATGTGGTCATGGAAAATGTAAACAAACCGGGTGGGGGGTGCCGTATTTGAAAGACCGCTTGCTGTATAGCAAATTTTGGTCATAATTTGACATCGCCGTATTAGCAGAACGCCGTAAGGCGAAACGCCGTAAAGTGGGGCCTTACTGTATACTCATAAATTCTAGCGGCTTCAAATCAAGCAGGAGACAGCTGGTAGGCCCACATGTGAGAGAATGGGTCTGTGTGGTCAGTGTGCACTATATAAAAAAATCCTGGAGTACGCAGTGCACAATGAGAAAAAAACTCCGACTTTTTTTTTTTAATTAAAATGCTGACTTTGTGGTCTATTTTCGTATAGTATTTATGGTTGTATTCTCGTTTTCTTGGTCTCATTTGATAGAATGGAAAACATATTATAGAAATAGAGGCTTTACTGAAAAAGAACCTGGAAATGGAGCTCAAAGTAGGGGAAATGTTTGATTTTTGCCGATGTTCAAAAGTAAACAAATGATGTCATTGTCCAATAAATGTCCAACTAGCCATTCTAGTATGCAGTCATGAATGGGTTGACATTATTTGTACAATTATTACAGCATTGCGGTAGTCTGCATAACAGTAAATCTTCTATTTTTTGTTTGAATAAAAATTCAAAATGGAAAGCAAGAGTAATATCAGAGGGGCCTGGAGATGTGACTGATGAACAAAGAAAATGTTATTTTAGAGCCAGGAATGTCTGCATTGTTCATTCTGGACCTTTTTTTGAAACTGTGATGTTTTTTAATTTTCGTGAAATTGGCCAAATTGCAAATTTCTGACCACGTTATTGGATAGTTGAAATTGGTAAATGGGCAGTTTCTTGTGCTCAATTGATAGAAAAAACAAAGTTCTAAGGAAATAGCTATGAGTTTGGTCGACTGGAACAATGGAATTAGCCGAAAATAGAGCTCAAATTCGGAAAAATAGCCGATTTGTAAATATTGCCGAGGTCCCTAACTTCGCAAGAGCGTAATTCCATCAGTTTTACATCAAATTTCGTTCTTTTGGTGTCATTACAATTGGGAAAAGATTCTCTGTCATTTCATAAGATTTTTTTTTTTTTTTTTTTTTTTTTTTTTTGAAGTTTTGCAACACCAGAAGACACCTCAGGACTGGGGGTTGTGACAGTCAAGGGGTTAAGGACTATTTTTCTGAAAGTGTTAGTGTACTCTGCAGTACTAGAAAAAATGTGAATGGAGGAGAAATAGTATTTTAAAAGGAGTGGAGCAATAAATGTTTGCCATTATTGTAGAATTTCATAAAAAATGTGTAAATATTATATTCCAGAATAAGACATCTAATATAAATAACAAAAAGGCACAATACCGTGACTGGAACGATACACAAATAACCCGCACATAAAAGAGAGAAGCTTACGACGACGTTTCGGTCCGACTTGGACCATTGACAAAGTCACACTGTGTGACTTTGTCAATGGTCCAAGTCGGACCGAAACGTCGTCGTAAGCTTCTCTCTTTTATGTGCGGGTTATTTGTGTAAGACATCTAATTCGTATAGCCACAATGAAAACTTCATTGACGTATTGGGCAAATAAATGAAATGTTCTGTTGAAAATTTATACAATAAAATGAGGTGCAGTAAAGAGACAAAAGATAGTATGAGCCAGCAGTTCATGACTTACCTTGAATTTGATTGAAATATGCTCCCAATCTCCAGTGTGGCTACCCATGGTTAGTTCTTCTCCATGACAAACACCATTTATTCGTGGCTTAAATACCCTACCGAAGATGAATCCTAGATTAGCAGTGCATACTTTTTTGCCATAGTTATAGGGATAAAACATCCAGTAGGTCACTGTAAATTGTTGCTCATGAGACAGTATTATCTCACTTGTCATAACCTTTGATGTGTGGCGCTTCTCACTGGTGTGGTACGAGGCTGTAGTGTTTGCCATCATTTCCTCATCCTGTACAGTAGTCTGGACAGTATCATCTTTATTATTAGGCTCTTGAGATAGTACTCTTTCATTGTTTCTTGTGTCTACAATATTATTGTATTGCAGTATTGGCTTATATGTAGCGGAGGTTTCATAATGTGAAGTAATGGGGTAATTAGAACTTCCATTATATGTAACTGTTGGGGACTGCTTAAAAAATTGAGATGTTTTACTATCAAAATTGGCTGTATGAGCAGTAATGACATCATTGCTACTGAAAGAGACATTAGCAGCTATGATGCTTATCTCATTGTCTTTATTTAAATTTGTATTATAAGAATTTAAACTTTTTAAAGGATCTCTCCAATGTAATTGATCATTACGTACATTATTAAAATTGGTGTCATCTTTTATCAAAAGAGGTGGTGAAGAGTGACCAGAGTCAAGGAGGCTTAGGAATGGTTGTGCTAGTACTGTATTTTCTGTTGTGCTGGAAAAGTGGACTAGAGGATCTTTAGACTCTACTTTTACTTTAAGAGTTGGAGATGTAAGTGTAGATGTTGGAGGCTGAGGCTTTGTATCTCTTAACTCTACACTACGTCTGCCATTTGACAGATTTTGATGTGATAAATTTAAGGAAAATGTTGTTTCAGTTTCTCCATTATTGACGGAAGAATACTCATTATCTGTAGCAGAAGTGCTTCTGCTCTCTCTGCCAAGGGTTGGTGGGCCACATGTATGGATTGTTGCATATACAGCAGGAGTATGATGCCCTCCAGGCTTCTTGCCAAACAGAAATCTGGGTAGAGCACAGTTGGAGCATTCTGTAAATAAAGAAAATCAATAACTTTTCCTTATTTGCATGTGGAGAGGTAATATGAACAAGAAAATATGAGAATATACAGATGTGGCAGATGTTGCAAGTGTATGGAATAGGGGGTATGTTATTGAAAGAAGTTAAGTGTTTTTACGAGGATAGTGAGGCTCAGGTTAGGGTAAATAGGAGGGAAGGAGATTATTTTCCAGTAAAAGTAGGCCTTAGATAGGGATGCATGATAAGAACCAAACACAAAGTGGGAGTTGTCACAGTTGCTTTTTGTTGATGACACTACTTTTGGGAGATTCTGAAGAGATGTTGCAGAGGTAAGTGGACGAATTTGGGAGGGTATGTAAAAGAAAGGAATTAAAGGTGAATATAAGAAAGAGCAAGGTAATGAGGATTACAAAAAATTTAGGAAATGAAAGATTGGATATCAGATTAGAGGGAGGGAGTGTGGAGGAAGTGAATGTGTTTAGATATTTGGGAGTGGACTTGTCAGCAGATGGGTCTATGAGAGACAAGGTGGACCATAGAATTGATGAGGGGAAAAAGGTGAGTGGTGCACTTTGGAGTCTGTGGAGACAATGAATGTTATCCATGGAAGCAAAGAGGGGAATGTATGAGAGTATAGTGGTACCAAGGCTCTTGTATGGGTATGAAGCATGAGTGGGGAATGTTGCAATAAGGAAAAGGTTGGAGGCAGTGGAGATGTCATGTCTGAGGGGAATGTGTGTTGTGAATATTATGCACACAATCTGTAGCTTGGAGATTAGAAAGAGAGGTTGTTGAGGTGGTTCAGACATTTAAAAAAATGGAACAAAATAGAATGACTTGGAGGGCATATAAATCTGTAGTGGAAGGAAGGCATAGTAGGGGTTTTCCTAGGAAAGATTGGAGGGAGGGGGGTAAAGCAGGTTTTGTATGTGAGGAACTTAGACTTCCATCAAGCGCGAGTGAGTGGAAGCAAATGGTTTTTGACTTAACGTGCTTTGGAGTGTGAACAAGGTGACATTTATGAAGGGATTCAGGAAAACAAGTTAGCCGGACTTAAGCCCTGAAGGTGAGAAGTACAGTGCCTACTACATTTAAAGGAGGGATGGAGGTATGTGGCAGTTTTTGAACTATATTGTCTGCTCGCCTTTGGTAAGACAGTGATGGAGTGAGTAATGATGCAAGTTTCTTTTGTTTTTGGGTCACCCTGCTTTGGTGCGAACTGCAAATGTGTTAATAGAAAATGCAGAGAGAGAATGAAGAGAGAGAGAGAACAAGAAGATTGAGTTGATGAAAAGTGATCCTTGCTTGCCACCCTCTGCCTTGCTTGCCACCCTCTGCCTTGCTTGCCACCCTCTGCCTTGCTTGCCACCCTCTGCCTTGCTTGCCACCTGGAGTATAACTGGAAAGGGTTTCGGGGGTCAATGCCTTCATGGCTTGGTCTGAGACCAGGCCTCATGGTGGATCAGGGTCTATCAACCAGGCTGTTACTGCTGGCTGCATGTAAACTGACGTATATAATGAAACGATTACGTTTGTTCACTGATACTCTTCAGAGGCCTCTTCCTTTATTTGCGGTTTGTGGTACACAGGCAGCGTGTTTAAATTGCCCTGGCCCAGGAGGGCCGTGCCCAGCTAGGGAGAGAGGAGTAGGTTTGTTGACTCTATGAGGCCTAGATGCCAAGTGAGAATGAGGCAGGGTGGCATGCCCACCAGGCTTACCCTCTTGGGGAAACTATAAAACCTAGCCATGTAGGCTTACAGTCTACATTTTGCTCGGCCACCTACCCATGGTTGTCCTTGACCATGATTGGCTGAAAAAAAAAACTCGGTCTCTCTCTCTCTCTCTCTTGCAGGAACAGGGAACAGGATACAGAATAAACATATATACATACATGTGGACATGGAAAAAAAAAGTTCTACTGGGAGGGAAGAAAAAAAAAGTGGGGTGTGCTAAAACATCGTGGTCCAAGGCGGTGAATGTCGGTGGGTTTCACTGCATGCCTTCCTGTGTTTGGACAGATACAGCAACAGAGGAGATATTGCTGCGGCTGAACTGTGACGTAACAGGGTACGGTCTCCTTTGGAACGGTAAAGCAGTCATAGTGGTAGTTGCTGCAGGGTTCACTCATCCTGGGGCACAACCTGCTGGTGCCCTCAAGTGAGGCATCATCAGTACTCAGCAGCTGGGCAGGACTTCTTCAGGCAAGTGACTCAGGAGGACATTTCTTGACTGGTACTGTTGCTGGGGCTGTCACTACCAGCGAGTGTGGAGTGAGTCGTGACAGGGATGCCTCAGGCGAAACATCTGCAGTGAGTGGTTTAGGACTCAAAGTGACATATGTTTGTGCAGGCTGCTCACTGAAGCTACAACATGAGGCAGACGGTTGCCTGCTGACAGGGCTACTGCGGCTTGAAGAGTGTCATTCTTTCGACAGTTGGAGTTATAGCAGAGGTTAGTCTAAGCGTCTTCAGACTGGTTCTCTACATATAACCACTCTGATGGTCGGAAGGTGAAGTGGAACAAGTCTTGATGGAGAATAGTAGCAGGTACGACTCAGCAGGGCATCTGCGAGTGGCAAACACAAAGAACTTTCTGTACAAGGGGCTCAGACGCTTGTAACTGATGCTGGGACTGACTAATGTCAGCTGTCAACGGTCAAGGGTGTAACACAAGGGTGCTATATAGTGGTCTGGGTGCAGACCATACATTGAGACATAGGGAAAACTTGCACACACCTACTGCACATGCTGTACAACATGGCTTGCACTAGCAAATGATCCTTTTCTGTGCAAAAATCAGCACTAAGCCATACGAAGAAGTGAGAACATTGGCTGAGAGGAAATTAACATGTGACATATATCTTCTCTCAATCTAATCGACAATACTGAAACAATTTGCTCACTGTAAAACTAGAACACTCGATGTGACATGTGATGTCAGGCATGACATCGTGAGGGATGTCATGGGGCAACATTGCGAGGTGACGTCAGACAGATATCCAGGGTGACATCAGGTAGCATTGTGACATTGGGCAGACATCCTGGGTGATGTTGCAAGGTGACGTCCTTGAATGACGTTGGGCAGCATGGTGACGTCGTGAAGTGATGTTGGGCAGCACCATGGGTAATGTCGGGGGGAGTGATGCGGGCAGCATGCTGACATCATGGGTGATGCCATGCAGCATGTGGCTTGGGTAACTCGTGTGGCTCGTAGATCAACATGTGGCTTTGTGATCCACATGGCTTCGAGTGACCTCGGGCACTTGGATACACAGCTCTGGCAAAGAATTCACACTGAATTCATAGAGAAACAGCAGAGGGAGTGAGACAGTGAGTGGTGTAGTGTGGTGGTAGGAGGCGAATGTGGGAGGTGTACATTGAGGTAAGGGAGGAGCCGGCCACTTCCTCCACACCCCACATACTTCTAGTGCAGATTCTACCACACTGGGCACAAAAATCACCACAAACTCACCTCTGACTTGCTGAAATAGCTGTGCTGAGCTGAACAACAACAGCAGAAACATACAGGCGACCCTTAACACGTGACTTAGAAACAGCGTGGGGCACTGTGAAGCTCCAGGTGATGTCATTTATATTTCTCGGAGAAATTCAGTAAATTTTGACCTAGATCATGCTGGTACCTGTGTCAGGATGCTGCAGCTTGCAGACACGACATCAGGATAACTCGTTGAGAAACAGACGCTTCTTGTATGGGGTGATGAAGTGAAGACAACTTCATGCTTCTTCCTTCCTCTCCGGGCAGACACACTTGCTGCGAGCACCACTGTCACCAATTATAATGAAATGATTGTGTGTTCAGTGATACTCTTCGGAAGCCTCTTACTTTATTTGAGGTTCGTGGTACACAGGCAGTGTGTTTAAGTTGCCCTGGCCCAGGAGGGCCATGCACAGCGAGGGAGAGAGGAGTAGTCCTGTTGACTTTATGATACCTGGATGCCAAATGAGAGGGAGGCAAGGTGATGCGGGTTGAAGTGGCATGACCACCAGGCTTGCTTCCTGGGGGAAACTACAAAAACTAGCCATGTAGGCTTACAGTCTACACGTACGAACCACAGCCCGGCTGGTCAGGTACTGACTTTAGGTGCCTGTCCAGTGCCTTCTTGAAGGCAACCAGGGGTCTATTGGTAATCCCCCTTATGGATGCTGGGAGGCAGTTGAATAGTCTTGGGCCCTGGACACTTATTATGTTGTCTCTCAGTGTTCTCGTGGTGCCCCTGCTTTTCATTGGGGGAATGCTGCATCTCCTGCCAAGTCTTTTGCTTTCATAGGGAGTGAGTTTCATGTGCAAATTTGGTACTAATCCCTCTAGGATTTTCCAAGTGTATATTATCATGTATCTCTCTTGCCTGCATTCCAGGGAATACAAATCAAGGGACTTCAACTGTTCCTAGTAATTTAGGTGCCTTATCGTGATTGTGTGTGCCATGAAAGTTTTTTTGTGCACTCTCCAAGACCGCAGTTTCGTCTGCCTTGAAGGGGTCAGTTAATGTACAGCAGTATTTGGAAACAGAGCTACAATGTACAGCTAAACATACTGATAAATGGGTCACCCATTTCTAGACATACAGAGGGTAAATTTCTAGGTCTCCACCTAGACTGCAATCTCGAATTCCAAACTCACATACAGCAAATGTCCAAGAAAGTCTCCAAAACAGTAGGCATCCTCTCAAAGATATGGTACTATGTACCCCGATCGGCTCTTGCATTATACCACTCTCTCTTCTACCCTTACCTCACCTGTGGTATTTGTGCATGGGGCTCAACCACAGCAAATCACCTTAAACCTTTAATAACCCAGCAAAAAGCTACAGTGTGATTGATTACTAACTCCTGTAATAGACAGCATACTCCTCCACTTTTCAAGAGTCTTAACCCTTTCAGGGTCCCCAGGCCCTCTCCCACACTTGTTCTCAGGGTTGCCCAAATTTCAAAAAAAAAAAAAAATTATTTTTTCTTATGAAAAGATAGAGAATCTTTTCCCGATCATAA